CTCACGCAGGTATTCCTCATCAAACTCGTTCACCTTGACCGTCTCCTCTTTAAATTCAGAATCAGAGTCGCCCTCTCTCTGCTCATCGCTCTCCACAAACCTCTCCCATTTCTCCTGTTCCTCATCATTGTCTTTCTCAGGATCCAGGTCTGTTGTTAATGAGTCATGTGTCTTTTCATCCGAACTGTCCTCGTGCTCTTCAGAATCCTCTTCTGACATGTTATCCAAACACAACCGGTCAGCGCCATCCATGTTTTCTAGTCTCTCATTTTCTGTCCTGTCATCTGACTCCAGCATGTCTCTGTGCTCCCTCTCTGTGCGTTTAACGTCAGTGTGTCCATCTTCTCCACGTAATGTGTCCTCACAGTCATAGAAACAGTCTTCCTCAGGGTCTGTGGTGGTTTCTCTGGTCTCTGACACTTTTAAGGTGTCAGCCATAGCAGCTAAGAGCGTCTCAGACTCCGTCTCCATCTGGAGTTGTGCTGTCACCACAACCTAAACAGCATTTAAGTGAAGTAAATGTAAATGGCCTCAAGTCATATTCACCTCCAACACTGCAAAACAATTTAACATGATCATACATTTAGGCTATTTGAATAAAATGATAGTATGCCCATTTCATTTCAGACTGTCATATAAAGTAAGTATGAAATAAGTCTAAAATGCAGACTTTGATAAACTCGTCTTATTGTCATCAACATGTCATGCTTATTTTAGACTTGATGTACCTCGTAACATACTTAATTTATACTAAATGTTTCTGCATGCATGTATCAAATAAAAATAGAAATCATTACAATATTCGACAATGTAGTAACTTGCATTAACAATTCAGACAAAAACATCAGTAAACACATACTATTATTAGCACAAGACTGATTTCACTTCATTAGCTGTGCACTTGGCAAGCACGAATGCATTATTTTAAAAGTTTAATTTTCATTTGCATTGATATTTACAAGCAGTATGAAAATGATATTTATTAGATGTAAACAATAACTCAGACAGTACCTCTTCCTCACCTTCTAGAAGTAGAAATGAGCCATAACGTCTCTTCCGGTTAATCACTCCCGGGTGACGCATGGGTAGAGAAGGATTCTGGGATATGTAGTAGGAGTTCGTATTTGCTCACTAGAATACGCATTTGTGTTTCGTAGTGGTTAAACATTTCATTTTACATATCCTAATTCATGAATAATTTTCTAAGTGTAACATTTAAAATCACCAGAACATACACCTAAAAATATATCTGGATTGTCTTCATCATTACGAATATTAATCATTATGAACAATAATAATAATAGTATTAGCAAAATTGGGACATCAGATTAAGTGGAACAAATCAAGATTATCAAGAGATAATTAAATGTAGGTAAATAAATAAATAAGTAAATTAATAAAATGACAGAAAGTTGGTCATTTATGATTTGTATTGCTAATATACTGTGTATATATATATATATATAT